CTCCAGTGTAGCCCGATGCTCCCAAAGTGCTCTAATTTCATCTCGGGCAGCAATCATTTCCTCTTGAAGAGCTTCGGTGTGGTTCCTGGTTTGATCATGGTCTTCGTCTAGGCGGCGAAGACGGACAACAGTAATCTCAATGGTAGCACCAACCTCCATGATTTGGTTGGTTGATGCTCTTGCCTGTCCTCCTTGGTTAGCGATGCGGCGAACTAAAACGGGGAGAGCCCTATCGACTGAACCCCTTTTGGAGAGGTTATACAAGCCTCTTCCCATCTCGTAAGGAGGATGTTGGCCTTATTCGTGGCTCCATCTATGTAAGTCTACAGCCCATCTTGGCTTCCGGCCATAAAAATTCTGTCTGGCTGCGGCATTTTGAACTGCCTGCGGGGGATTGTAGACTTCCGGATCTGGTTCGGTGCCTTGCGAATCCTCTTCTTCTTCATCCTCCATTGGTTCTTCTTCCTCCATTGGTTCTTCTTCGGAATCTTCCTTTGGATCTTCCACAATCCAACCTTCATTTCCTTGATTAGGAAAGTAGGGATCTCCGTGTGGGTGGAATCCTGCCATTGTGTTTGTGCGAGAAATAGGGGTATGAGGAATATATGAAAAACTTAACTATATGAAAATAAATATCGAAGCTTAAATATAGTAGTTAAAATGATGATGGTATCATAAAATACTCCTATAGTATTTTAAATTTTATGTTTGGTTCTTGAGTTTATGGGGTTGGTAAGTTTTAGATTTGTTGACCACTACGACTATTACCAAGCGTATGCTAGTCACCTCTTGAATAAATATAGTTAATCAGGTTATATTCATTCTAGACCTGATTACATACTGTCAGACGTACTCGTAGTGTTCAACGCATCTTTAATACTTTTTGTTTTGTCTTTATTACGACATTGTACTAGTATGTATGCATGTATACTTTTTATAAAAGTATAACTCTCGATCAGAGTATTTTAGTCCCAATGTATTTATAGTTGTATATCATATGGTTTGATATACTTAGTTCACTATAAACAATGCTCTGATACCAATCTGTGACACCCCCAAACCTGAACAGCAGAAGCGTTCGGGTGCGGAGGACGTCATGTGCAGTATCATAACAATTGAATAGTAAAGAAAGTAAACACAACCATCATATACTTAATAGAAAAGTTACATCATTGTAAGCATTACGTGTTTCCAAAAGTCTATTACAATATGATGTTCAAAGAGTTTTGTTTAACGTCATAACGTCAAATCTTCAAAAGCTGTTGCTAACCTGTTTTTACTGATTTCCTGAGAATACAAGTTATTTGAGAAAAAGTGTCAACATTTAAGTTGGTGAGTTCATAAGCATTTATATGAATAAATGTATGCCATTCACTGAGATGAAACCATGTTTGTTTCTAGAAAATCCGATATTTTCTATAAAATGAGTTGTAATTCGTTTGTTTGTAAAATGAGAGTGTTTATCCCGGAAAATCCTATATTTTCCATAAAGCTGATTTGTAAACTGTTTATTTGTAAAGTATTCGTATTTGTCCCGGAAAATCCTATATTTTCCGTAAAGCTGATTTGTAAACTGAATTGTAGTCTTATATTGTTCCTAAGACCGAAAGTATAAGTATAAATGTCATACTTAATTTAATAACAGGTAGTTTATTTGTGAATAAAACCGTTTGAAGAGCTGGGTATTTACGTAAAATAAGCGTACTATCGATTTTACGTAAAAAATAACGTATTTTCGTTTATCATGTGAGTTTTCATAACCGTGCTATTAATGAATTGCCTGTCTCGACGTTCTTCAGGCGTCGAAATGATATGACGTTTGTCACCCATAATTTGCCGGTCGTGCTGTAGCTAGCAGTCAGGGTGCGGAATCATCAGTTCCGTATAGATCTATACACAAATATCACGCTCTCCGGGAGGAGACTCTGGTTATAAAATAGGACTTCCATGTATACCTTTGGTAGGTACAATGAAGACGAATGACTCACAAATTTCCAACGAGATACGTATTTTGTTAATGAAAGTATTCATACACGAAATTGTTACTCTTTTCGTTCTGTTTATAATATATAAAAATAACCGTATTTTTGTATAATCGTTTCTTTGCACTGAAAGGGTAAAATAATGTAAATGTAACCCAAACTATACCTATTATAGTTTAAAAGTATTTTTTTCATTTAAAATGATAACCGTTTCGTTTTAACGTATTTTGCATGTAACCATTTGTAAATTTGGTAATAACGTGGTTCCGTATGTTTGATATTTCTACGTAAAGATACTTTAACGTAATAAAATATAAGACGTTAATTTGTATATTAACACAAGTTTCTTGTGTTTTACTTGTATTCTCCCCCTTAAAACATAGAAAAAGTTATAAAAATGTAGGGGTATGAACTCACCTCGGGTGTGATAACGGGGTTGATAACGGGAACGAAACGGTGAACTTCGCTTTAGAACACGAAATGATAACTGTATCCTAATGTTTAAACACATATTATGGTGTGATTAAGATGTTAATAATCATAAGAGTGATTTTGAAAACACTAGGATTTTGAATGAACTTACCAAAGATTATTATCACTTGAAGCAAAGTCTACTGGAGTTGTTTGAATGATTTTGGTAATTTGAGAGGAAATGAGGAAGTGTTTTCGTTACTGAGTATGTAAAAGTGAAGAGTGAACTCTATTATGCAACTTATATACGAAGGAAGGGATAAGAGGTGGATTTGACGTTTACATTGGTAAATGTAATTATCATCTAGGGAAAAGGAATTAAGATAAGATAATAGGATATTTTGGGGATGTTTACTGTCAAGTTGCAAATGTTTACGCCCCATTATGGAGAGTTCACGGCCAAAAGAATGTGTTTTCACCCACCATGAAGTGTTTATGGTCAAAGAAATGGGGTTCATGGCCAAAGGGATGGGGTTTACGGTCATGGGATCTTCTAGAAGGGGTGTTTTCGGATCTAGGTTCATTTATGGAGGGGTTTTTGGTTCTATGCAACCGTGAACACCCTTTTGATTCCATTTAACATCCGTAAGCCCCTTTGAATTGTTTATATTAGGCGAAAACTCATTTACGAGGGTTATTTATGTTTTAAACCCTTAGTCTTTCAACCTATTTTTATTTATAACACTCTAATTTAGCTTAGTTTTCAATCCAAACTTCTCTGTTATCTTTTTAACCAAGCCCTAATGCTATAGATAATACAATGCAACAAGGCTTGCAATATAGATTCCTTTGTAGTTTAGAGTTCTATTAATTCAAAACAACGGGTTGTTACATGTTTGATCATGGTGCGGTTGAAATTAAGAGTTTGGAAACGAATCAAATATTCAAAGTGAATGGGTACCGTTTGAAACTATTTTATGAAGGCTTTGACATGGGAGAATTCGACAACTTAACATTAGAAACTCCGATTTATGAAGGTTGACGGAAGCGGGGCTATGTCTTGGCAAAGACGTTAAATAAATGCATTGTAAATAAATAATATCTACTTGAAGTTTTGATGTTTCTAGGCTTGAAGTTGGTAAAAAAAATAAAAAAAAATAAGCATCTTGAGGTTTAGCAATGATCTTGTTAAAGTATGGAAGAAAACCGGAGCTTGTGGAGCGAAAAAAAAATGTCAAAAATCTGCAATTTTTCGCGGCTTGACTGTTTGCCCGCGCAAACGTTGCGCAACCCAACCCCAGTCGCGCAAATCCGAGCTCAAAAATTCCTCTAACACGAGTTGTAAACTGATGTGCGCGCGCGACTGCTCCTCCACCCACGTAGGTTTTGCGCGGCCTGATAACCACCCTCGCAGCCACTTGCGCGGTCTGCCTCCCACCCTCGTAGACTATTGCGCGACCAAGACCAAATTGCCCTCTTCCTTTGTGCGAGCAACACATAAGCCATATTAAACGACCCGTGCCCCACCCGATAATCCAATCCTACCTAAAGGCCTACCCAAACTCGCTTCAACTTAACCCGCCCCGATCCTGCTTTTAAACCCGATAACCCAACCCATTTCCGACCCAAACTTATATCCCCTTCACCCGTGGGACCCCCCTAAACCTTCCCCCCTTGTAACTCCCGTCCACAGCGAACACAACAGCAAGTCGCTCAGCCACTTTCCGCTGCCACTGCCACCGACGAAGACCCCCTGCCACCACCGCTGCCGCCTGCTTCCACCTCCAGTCGTCGCTACCTCGCCATCGCCTGCCGCCGTCGCTTTCCCTGCCCCCTTCTTCTCCAGCCGGCAACCACCCTTCTTTCCCTTATCACATCGTCGCCGGAAAGTCGTCAACCGCTCCTAGCACCGTCCTCCTTTCTGCTACCACCGGCGCCTCCCACCCACCGTAACCCCCAACAAATTCCGACCACCCCACACCATTTTACCACCGGTAAACAACAAGTCCGCCACCACTTCTCTAACTCGCCGAAAAAAAATCGAGAAAAGCCTCATTCCGCCACCACCTTTCATCAAAATTCAAAATTTTATGGGGGCATTCTTCACCAAATACTTCCGACCATGCCGATCTACAATCAATTTGGGAAAATTAACTCGTCGGAAAAGTTAGCTCCGCCACCGGCCACCTAACGACGTCGCCGCCGGCCGCTGCTCCTCATTTTGACGAAAATTTACAAAATTTTTGTTTCTCACCGAAGATTCAAAAGACTCAACCTTGCGGGTCAAATTCAAGCTTCGGGTGCGGTTTTAGCGATTTTCCTTTCGGGTTTCGACACTCGAATTTGGTATATTACTTTTAATTTTTTTGCATTTAATTTCTAATTTTGATAGACTTATGTCATGCATTAGGGTGCTTAGAATTGACTTGCTTTGAATTGATTGAATTACATTACCTTAAATTGTGCCAAATTGCAAGTTTGGAGTGTTTGCCCGGTTTATATTTATATTTATATTTTTTATTTGGATTGATTGGATTGGTGTGAGGCGAGTGTGAGGGATAATCTTGGTCAAGTTTTTGTCTTTGCTAGGTTATATTAACAGGTACAATGGGTAAGAGCAAAACCATTCACGCGTCTCATGGTTCTTCCCGCGAAGCTCAATCGTCGAGATCATACAAAAAAGTCTCAACTGAACATGTCGATCGTGATGGTAACCTTGTCCTCACTAGTGCACAAATCAAGCAATTCAAGTCAAACCTCCAAAAACGTGCAATCCGAGCCACCAAATTTTACCACCGGGAATCCATGATCAACCTTGGCCTTGACAATTGCTTGCAACATATGTTCCTCAACATTGGTTGGCGTGATTACCTAGCTCTTTCCGCGCGCACATACAAGCAAACCACACTCGAGTTCCTTTCCACTTTATACACGGGATGACACGGCGGAGGTGCTCACATTTAGACTTCAGGGTCGGCAGCACCGACTCACCTACGACACCCTCAACACTATCATGGACACATACAACAACCACAACTCCAACATCTATAGTTATCAATGGACTCAATTCAAGTGCTTGCCCAAAGTAGAGTTTTGGACTCAGATCACCAGTCTTCCAAACTTCAATCCAAGTCGACAAAAAGACCCTTACATCATCCATCCTTGTTGGAGAATCGCCCACCGGATTCTTTCAACTTCCATCTTTGGTCGTCAGGAGCCGGGACAAATAAACACAGTCGAGCTATATTTCCTCTATTGATTGTCCAGCAGCGGTTGGTCTTGCCCCGGTTTCACCACCTTTTTCTTGGATAAATGTGACAGCATACGCATGAAGTCCACCGGAGACATTTGCATCGGAGGTCTCATTACCCTAATTGGTTTGGGTGTGGGCCTTCAATTTCCCGAGTCTGAGTATGTGCTAGTGGATGATCCGCCTATCTACCTCCTTGACTGCGTAGCTCTCACTCGGATGGAATTGTTGTTACCTACCAACAATAGCCATTACTATTAGCTCAATCATGCCAAGGAATCCGTCTACATCTTACCTCACGCCAGCATTTCAGCCGTTACCACCAGGGACCCCGAAACTTGGTTCTTACCTGAAGAGTTAAGTATTGATGATGAAGCAGGTGATGACGACATGCAGTTTGACACTGCGAATGTTGATAGCCCATTTGAGGCCGAAGACCATTATGAACTCCCAATCCGACAACTGTCACCGCCCTTTCATGATCAGTCTTCGGGAACACACTTCGAGCCACAACATGAGTACCAGTCCTATCAACAACACAACGAGCCGGGACCCGAGTTTCCTCTTGATATATACAGTCAGCTTGCTGCCTTGCGTTGTCAGGGCAACCGGAATGAAGCAGCCATTCAGCGCATCGAGGAGCAGCAAGCTCGTGCCAACAGCTACATGGAGGATCTTTGGCATCATTTTTAGCCCAAAGGCGGTCACCGTCCTCACGGTCCTCCTCCACCTTGATCCCGATACGATCCTTCCTTACTCTCATCCTAAGCATTGATGACAATGCTTAATTTTAAGCTTGGGGTGAGATATTCTTTATCTCTGTTTATTGCATTTAGGTTGTATGTAGTTGTATTTAGAGTAAGTCATTTAGGTCATTCATAAAAATTGCATAAAAAAATTCAAAAATATTGCATATTTTGTTTCTTTCTTTTCTAATTTTCATACTTTTTAGATGCATTCTAGTTTAAATTCATGCATTTTTGTTCTCTCTTGTCTTCTCATCCCTACATGTACCATAGCGCTGAGTCATAAGTATTGAATCATAATTGGTCTCGGGTCTTGATATGGAATTCCTTGTATTGGATGCAGGTAGCTTGATTGGGTCTAGGTGCAGAGGGATGTGGTTGGGCAAACCGATGTGTGCGAGCAAAGATTAGCCCGGTAAGGTATTTTGAAGACATTGAAGACTCACATCTTGGTTTTGGGGGGAATATCCCTTAGTACTCCCGAGTCTCGTCCGAGCCTTGCTTAGTTAGATTCTCACCACATTTTTGGGATAAGTCATCATTTTTATAGGGGTCTAGAGTAGATAGTTAAATAGATTTTGTTTATCACACCTTGCATTGTGGTGTTGATGAACTTTGAGGCGGGTCCCCCAATTCATATTTTTGAGACCAAGTTTTTTCGGTAACACTCATTTTTGAGTCATTCCCCACCCTTTTTAATAGATATTGACACATTGTCAATGATCATTAGGTGTTCATGTTAGCCTCTATCTATTGCTTCATTTCCACTATTGGAGTCCTATGTTATATGGTGAAATTCCTTAGACCTTCCAAGAAGAAAACACACAAAAAAATGAAGAAATTGGAAAAGCGAAGACAATAAGAAACGATAAAAGAAGATTCAAGAAAATCAACAAAAAAGAAAGAAGAAAAATGAAGACAAAGAGCAACAAAAAAAGAAGAACAAGAATCCAAGTTCAAGGCTTCTCTCCAAAAAAAAAGGAGAGAAATAAGAAGACAAAAGATCGAGCAGCAAGGAGACTGAAGACCAAATAACAGAAGTTCAAGATTGAAGATTTAAGTTGTTAGGTTTAGATTTAGGTTAAGTAGAATTTTTATTATATTATATTATTTTTGATTTTGGTGAGAAAAGGCAATGAAGATGAGACGGTAGAATGTAAAGGACAGTACACAGGAGAAGCCCCTGAAGCCGGATGTTTGCCCGAAGGCCGCGCTACAAAACCCTATTTCGTTACTATACACTTTAGCCTGACAAATGTAGGAATCATCGTGTGTGAAGAGGCGCCTTTCCTTCATGCATTATGGTCTGCATTGATGATTTAACGTGCCCCCACGAGGCAGCATCCTCTTTTTCCTTTGTCTTTCACACCGCGACTACATCCAAACGTGATCTATTCGCCCTTCAAGTTGTTCGAGAATGTGGTTTATGGCTCTAAAGCGGGGAACATTTTGAAGATGTGTAGGGTCCATGAAAGACTGATTCTGACCATGTTGACTGATGTTGACCAAGTTCTATGGTATCTTTCTTTTTCCATTTTTAGTTTAGCTCATCCCGAGCTCATTTTAGTCTTGTTCTAACTTGAGGACAAGTTAGGTTTAAGCTTGAGGTGATTTGATAGTTTCTTTTATTTCCTTCTTTTTATTAGTTTATCATATAACATCCCAAAGTATCCCCAATTATAACTTAAATTTCACATATGAATATTGATTGTATGTCACCATTCACCATGGCTATGCTCTAATCTGTAAACTTGACTGTTCTTTTGAAGGACTGGAAATCCTATGCTGTTAACTGCAAGTTTGGTTTTGATTCTATTTGGTTGTATACTGCAAATAAGCAATTGGTTGTATACTTGAAATAAGCAATTGATGTTTGTGTGTTATAACTTTTGTTTAACAACATGCATACTATGTGCTCGATGAAATGCCTAATGTTGTTGAAATGTTGTTCTTTATTCCAGGTTCACCTGATGAAATGCCTAATGTGGTTAGAGATGGAACCTTAAAGGTTAAATACCAAAATGGTGCTCCAATCATTGGAGATCATCCTGCATCAACACGCTTCAGGGGTAGGCATAGAGTCTTCTAACATAAGATAGTGATATAGATGTAACATGTATTTAAATTGGCTTTGTTTCACAATAATACTAGAAAAAGAGTCACACCATGTATTTGAATTGTTCTTATTTACTTATATTCTTATTATTAATGTTATATTTATTAAATTTTTAATATTTTTTTTAATAATTAATGGTCCCGATTAATCCTCGCCTAAGCGATTAATCCTTTGACTCTAGTCCACCGATTAGCCTACGTCGAACGATTTTTACAACCTTGTATAATACTCATCAACAATATCAAGAATCAAATTGGAAATTGAAGTTCAAAACAAAATCAACTAGGTCTTTAATGAGCACATATGGAATTTTGATCTAATCGATAAATAATCACAAATTCGCCCTACAATTTCAGTTGCATAATAATGAAATTAGATTTATACTTTCAACAATCAAAAATGAAATCTAAATGATAATACCGAATATATGAAAACCAACCAGTAATTACTTAATATGTGATGTGAATCTAACCCGTTTGATTTTGTCTTTCCTGTTAGCATACAAAATTACATAAAGTGTATAGTTTTCAATAATCAAATAAGAACAAGCTATCAATACTAATCTTCCGGACAAAAAATGACTGTTCTCGCAAACAAAAATGATAGGAAAGTTCCAAAGATCAGCAAAATTAAAAAAATTGTCCTTGATTTGAAATCTAGACTAAGAACATTAATTCCGTTTTTGTAGTTGTGGACCAATCACAACAATTTTTTTTTTTTTTGTAGATCAGGTAGATTCTTAATTTCATCAAAGATGAAACTAGTGATGGTGGTGAAGGAGAGGAACGATGGTGAAGGGTAGGAGAGCTGTAGAGATTTTTGATGGGTTTTAGGTACAACAAGTAAACTAGAAAACAATTCCTAAGTTCACATGCAACCTACTTTGGATCTATGTTTTAACTATTGAACATACAACTTTGAATTGCAATACAAGAACCCTAGAGGAGAGAGGCTATTATCTAAAATAGTAAACTAGGGTTTAGGGTTTACATACCTTTCAATTGTTATAGCAAACAATTGATATTCCCTTGATCTTGATCTTGATCTTCTTGGAAGCTTTAGCACCACAAGTGTAATGCCTCTAATGGAGTCACACCCAAACTAGCAAGAAGGAAAGTAGAAGAGAGAGAGAGGAGAGGGAGTATGCAATTTCGGCCAGGGTATTCTTCCAAAGAATCAGTACCTAAAATGTGAGCCAGGAGGCTCCTTAAATAGTTGAGGGAACTAGGGTTTAGGGAAAACCCTAGTTATCCTTTGCTTAGGGCCTAAGCAAGACCCAAGGCCTTATCTTGGAGCCCTTGGACGAATTCTCTAGGGTTTCCCCTAGGGTTTTCGTCCACCCCCTTCCAAGGGGGTTCTGGAACCTTCCACTCAACTATTAGTTAATTGCAAACTAGTCCCTACACTTTATAATTAATTCTTTTAACCCCAAAATTAATTCTGATTAATTTTTGGCTAACAATTAATTAAACATAATGATTTCTTATTAATATATTAATCATAACATATTAATAAATCATTATATATATATATATATATATATATATATATATATATATATATTAATTTATTAATCTTATAAATTAATATCTCTCCTTTCATAATTTCCTTGTCCAATTGCTAGGTTGAGGGCAACCCAAAAGGACTGTGCTGCTATCAATTCAAGTACATACCAATTATAGTTATGGGCTTAGACACCTAATCCAACAGTCTCCCACTTGGATAAGTCTGTAACTATAATTGCTAGTATGCCTTCTAAATTTGACCAGCAAATTGTAGCTTCCAAAAAGCTGCTGCCGAACTCTGACCCAGTCAGTTACGTGTCCTAAGATAAGTGATCATATAACCCTTCGTTCTGCTTGATATCCCCAGACAAAAGACATGGAATGTAATCAATCTGTTTGTCCAGAATCTATGTTTCCCGATTCCTGATTTGTGATGATGTAGGACTTCTAATCGAACACATCAATTTAGTCCTGGCTGGGCCCAGCACATAAGTCAACACCAAATCATCGAGGGGCCCACAGATATCGCTTTTCCTGTTAGGGCAAAAGGAACGAATAAACGTTGACTCATATGCTTGTATCTTTTACTCATCAAATTATGCATGACAATACGTTTTATAACACCAAGTTACTGATGCGTTTTCGTATCACCAATGCACAACCGACTTGTAAATTACAACTCATATATCTTCGTTTCAAGATTATAAGATATTATCGTCTCAGTATTACTCGTGATGAATTCCATGAAGTAATACTCTGAGCGAGGGTTTATCCAATACTCAAATCTCAATTTCTGAGTACTCATGAACGTTGCAGCAATTCTATTGCCATGTCTATCCTTAGACAATCTGCAATCCAATTCATGACAGTCTTAATTCACTACTTACTTCCAAGAGTACGAGCGACTGTGGAGTTTGAATAATCTCATTATTCAGGAAGTAAAACATGCAAAAATGAAACACAATAATAAACAATTGACAAAAGGTAGTAGCCAAACTTATAAATAATACTTTATTATTTAATCACCAAAAGTCAATTACATTTACTTTGTTACAAGTTTCAGAATAAAACTAATCTAACTACTAAAACTAATATCATCTTTCAGTCCTATGCTCCGAGCATGCTGAATATGCTTAGCCCTACTCAGACCCTTTGTGAGAGGATCTGCTGGGTTATCTTCAGATGACACCCTCTTTACTATAAGATGGCCTTCTTCTACTCTATGTCTGATGAAATGGTACTTTCTGTCGATATGTCTGGTCTTACCATGATCTCTCGGTTCCTTTGTCAAGGCAACCGCTCCTTCATTATCGCAGAACAGTTCCA